TATTGCTCGGCCCTGCCGAGTTGCCGAGAGGTTGAGCTGCTAGCTAGTCGATTGCATCACAAAGTAGGAAAGCAGGTAAAAGAGGATAAACGGAAAAAAGTCGAGCCTGGAATCATAAATGCATACACAAGTGACATTGTTGAAGGAAGTTCCGTGAAGGTCATGGGAAAGCACTGACCAGTGTACTGCAACTAGCAGGTCAAGTACAGCGAGAGTGCCGGAACACGTCCCAACGCGAGAGTCAATAAGACAAACACAGATTGACCCCCGAATTGTTTAATAATAATAAAAATTAACTAAAAAATTTTTAAATATACTCTATTACAGGACGAACTTACTTGATTTTTTAAACCGGAGCTAAATCTTAATAACAGAGAGTTTGTTTCGTTATTCACGAACATCATCATCATAAACGTGCTATAAGCATATGTCAACTCTTGTACAAGTTGACAAACGTTCATAATAACAATGAAACGTGAAATATAAGTATTTATATAATCACGAAACTGCCATTGCATCCTTGCAATTAATAATGATGAAAATGTACAACAAATTTGTTGAACAATAAATGATGACGCGAATCTAAAGTATTAATTCATCAATTATAGAAAACAATATTGCACATTTGACGTAAGAAAATAGCAAAAACGTATAAATATATTACTTACGGTATATTTTTCATAAATTTATAACATGAAAAAAGATTAATCCCTCCGAGAATTATGTGAACGAGCGAGCATATCTGTAATTCACTTAATTATTAAAAGATTTACGATAAGCTATCAAAATATTTGTACAACAAAATTTGAAATTAAAATGAATTATGAAAAAACGCTACTATGAGATTATGCTGTTGTGTATTAAATGAAATCACAATAAAAAGTAATCCCTAAAGATTCCTTCTAAACAGTCAACTACGCTTAATTTTTGTTCAGTAACTAGTTGCTTTTCAATTTATGCTTATGAGATTTTTATAATGAATAATTTTAGAGAATATTTTGATATGAACAATAATGAGATTGAAAGAAAGTATACTGATACCAACGAAAATAATGATAGTAATAATAGTAATAATGATAAAATGGGTGATTAATACTAATAATTATAATATCAATGACAAAAGTTAGTATAATGCTTAATAACATACAAGCATTTGCATTTTTCGTTCGGATTTCTGCATTGCTTGGTCTGAATTTGATGCCAATTTGACTAAATTTTCCAGTAAATAATAATTTAATGCAATACTGGAAAAGGATAGAAAAGTAAGAATAATTGTAAGCTTCAAGTATTGAATGCTATCACGTTGTTCATCTTCAGACCAATTAATCAAAACGTGATGAATATTAATTGAACATATTATCGTTGATACTGTGCTATATGCAAGACAGTACTGTGCTGATACATATGTTACTGTAAACATCACTGAAGAGCGGATATTAACAAAAAGATACGTGAAAAAACACGTAACTAATAAGGATGCAAGTAACCATCGACATTCAAGTAACACAGCTACCTAGAAAAAAGTTTGCGGGATTATTTTTAACTTTGAAATTATTTTAGATAATACTTACTAAAAAAGTACTAAAAAAAACTAAAAATCAGGAACCAAAAAATACTGAAAAACATAAAAACACTAAAAAAATATTAAAAAAACAGAAACCAAAAAACTTTTAGTTTTTTATTTCATAAGAAAGAATTTTTCCAGTAAAATAATTATGCTAATCATATTTGTGGAATAGTAAGTTTATATTTAATGTTCAAATTTGAGAATCTATTCTTGAGCAATTATTTTCAGCACATATTACTGCATCTTTAAGATTTACTAATGAATATGCCAATGTATATTCGTTTTTTTTAAGAAAAGTTAAAGTGTTTTGAGAGATTAAAAGTTTTTGCGATTTTCAAATAAACAAAGTAGAAATTTGCATAAAATAATTATCAAGAAAAGTTTGTATTTCATTTCAATTTATAAGTTTCATTTTAATTCATTTCAATTTATAAGTTTCATTTTAATTCATTTAAATTTGTAAGTTTCATTTTAATTCATTTAAATTTATAAGTTTCATTTTAATTCATCTAAATTTTATAAGTTTACTGGAAATCTCAGAGTTACTAGCATTTATTTCAGCACTGTTCGCACTTAGCTTTTAAAAAAATCTATCTATTAGTGATATGAATTTTTTATAATTAATTTTACAGCTTGAATTTAAATTGAATACAGCATTTTAAATCTAATCATATTTTGCATAAATATCAAATAAAAATAATTCTTATATCATCCAGATTGGAACAGTTGTTAATCAAATAGGAAATTGCAGCTAAATAAATAATTTATTGCATTATTATTATTATTATTATTATTATTATTATTATTATTATTATTATTTATGTTATTATTATTATTATTATTATTACTATTATTATTATTATTATTATGCAATTTTGAGCAAATCAAGGTCAAAGATTAAACCAACAATTTACTCAATTTTTTGACAACTGATCAAAGTTTAAAAATCATTAATTTTTAATGATTAGAAAAAATTAATAAATCATACCTGATATGGTATCGTATAAGTTGCCAAGCTAGATAGAGTCCAAAGAAATAAAATAATACTGGATGATAATAAAAAATATGACAGTGAATTCTTGTTTGCTACAGGAATATCCATTTTCTAAACTTGCAGTGCTAAAAATACATTGTATACTAATATCAGAACTATTATCATTACTGTAAGCAGTACAATAATTATGGTGATAATTACAATAATAAGCTTAGAAATAATGAAAATTATAATTATGTAAATATTTGCCAATATTTTATTGTTATTAGCAAAAGAAATTGAATTGTAATAAGAAAGAAAATTTAAATAGTTAGGATGAGAAGAATTTCTGATCCATCAAACTACCGCAATTCGATCAGCACTGCTAATTCTCCATCTCAAACAACTGACCTTTACTTCTGCTGCTTATTTTTATCCTTTATCTTTAAGCAAGCTTTTCTCGCTTATCATATCATTGTCATTATTATCATCATCTTTATTGTTATCCCTTCCAATATTACTATCGTTATCGCCATTATGATCACCACAGAGTACTACTCATTACTTTTTATTTACATCTTCCTCAACAACTGCGATTTATATTGCTCACTTCATTTATCATGATCTTTAGAAATGCTATACTATTGTTACTAAATAATATTATTACTATTATTATTATTGGCACTTTTCTTATTACTGCTATTATTAATGTTATTATGATATATTAAATGAGCAAATATCATTGCTATTCCTACTATGCTAATAAATTAACAGCATATTATCACTGCTACCATACTTGCTATTAGCATAATTATTATTACTTACTGATCACTACCAACACTTACTGATATTCTTTCCTCTAAATAACAGTCAGCTACCGAAGAAATAAATTTCAACACGTGAACCATGCAGTTAAGATCCTTTCTGCTCAAAACCATACCAACAAATACTACTGCAACCATCTTATCCTAAAATTTAGTTCTTGACTGTTTTTAGGCCATTTAATTTAGATTCTGTTAACTTGTTTCCAGCGCAAGCAACGCATCCCAATTTCCGAAATAACACGACTATCTCAAGAGGCAATTCAGATTAACCTTACCTACCCCTCAATTCCCTGCACTCCTGTTTTCTTTATTTGGCGCCATTATACTTCAAATTAGGCA